GAACACCAGAGGAGAACATTAGTGAATGTCTTCAATCTCATGACAAAATGTTTTGATTTTGACTCCAACATCTAGTTCAAATGAAGTGTTGAAAAACTTTGCAATAATTGTGCCAACTTCAGTTTACAATAAATATAGAGCTCCACATGTGAGCATCCTGCTGCAGATGTTTTAAGGTGTTTAAACAGCATTAAAACCTCATGGGATGGATACAACAAGGTCTGTAATTGTAAATTAAAAGGAAGCGGTAGATCTCGAGTCCATTCCTATAATTCATTCCTTCTTTGGGCTGCTCATTTCCTCGGGAGTCGCCACAGGAACTAACTCCTATGAAGACTTCGCTTTTTTTAGTTTTTCTGGATGCCCGTCCTGACACAACTGCAGACTTCACAGATTTATATTAAACCAAAATTAAATTTAAATATTACAAGTACTAAGAACAAACATCTATGAAAAGATAAAGTCTCTTTCAGTATAAATGTGAAGTTTGTTTTCTATTTAGACAGCTAAATGATAATGTGTTGAGTTTCTGCTCCTGTCACTATTTTATCACTATTGTAAAACTTGGTTGTTTTGCAGATGTGTCTGTTAAACTTATGAGAAAAAGAACAAAGACTTTAGAATATTCAGGATTACATTTCAAGGTTAAACGTTATTGGCACCATATGTGGAATCTCCAGTCCTTTAAGATAATTAAATGTACCACTACCATGATGACAATCTTTATTATAATATTTTCCTGAGATGTAACCAAAAATGTGATGAAAGAGAAGAGCTTCTTAAATGAGCTGCCTCTTTAAACACTTCTCATCTTTAAATATTTAGAAACCAGTTAGTTTTATTCTGACACATGTAACATCCAGTACTATTAACAGAAGAGCAGCTCAGTGGTGTAAACTTGTGTGGCCCTGAAAAGGACCTTTGTTTAGTCAGCAGCAGCAGCAGCAGCAGTTTAGCCTCCGAAGCCGTACAGGGTTCGGCCCTGTCTCTTCAGGGCGTACACCACATCCATGGCGGTCACGGTCTTCCTCTTGGCGTGCTCCGTGTAGGTGACGGCGTCACGGATCACGTTCTCCAGGAAGACCTTCAACACACCGCGGGTCTCCTCGTAGATCAGACCGGAGATGCGCTTCACTCCACCGCGGCGAGCCAGACGGCGGATAGCGGGTTTGGTGATTCCCTGGATGTTATCACGGAGGACTTTACGGTGACGCTTGGCGCCTCCTTTACCGAGTCCTTTCCCTCCTTTTCCTCTGCCGGACATTTTCTAAGAAGCTCTGTCAGTTGAGTGAAGGTCTGACGCTGGAGTCACAGATATTAATGTCAGTGCAGAGGACGTGTTAGAAGACGGGGGAGGAGCATACCTTTTTATTTGGCGCCACCAAGTGGACAAAACTAGGAATTAGGATTACAGAGAGAGCGACAGAGAATTTTGTCTTAAATAAAGAAATGTGGATTTGTTTTGCTGTTCGGCTGCCTTCTTTCATAATTCAGTATATATATACATTTTTTACAAATATTAGACTAAAATCTGGTTTAGTGTTATTTAAGACTGATCCTCAGCACATACTGCTCTAATGGCTTCAAAAGTTGTGAACAAGCTGTTAACAACAGGAGATGAAACGTTTCTGTATTTTTTTGCTTTGTTTTGTTTTTTTGAATATCCAGAGAACCACAGTGAACTTTTTTGGATTTTTCTACCTGGATTATTGAGCATGCATCAGGAGATGTTAACACGGTTGTGTTCTGAAATTAATGACTGAATATACACCTACAACTGATTATTTTTTAGATGTAGCCCAATCCAGTGTGGCTGCCACAGCCAGTTTAACATAGAAAACACACAGATGGCTTTAATTAAATCAGATTATGACATTAAATTAGATGAATCAGCTGATATCTTTGTTTAAAACCTTCATTTGCTCTGATGGAGTCAACCCTGTTCTATTTTGTATATGCTTCGCCCTTTAAGGCTGTCGCTGATGGGTTTATCCTGATATGCGAAGCATTGCACTGAAAAATTTAGTCCACGCCCACCTGCTGTGTGGGCCCCACCCGGTCCGTATACATTACGTTAAGAGCGGGAAATTGGCTCCCATTTTTTCTTCAGCAAGCTAATAGCACTGTCAGAAGAACAAGAAGGAAAGTTGTGTAGAGGACTAACCTTTGTTAAGAATGCTTGGCCCGTCACGTCGCCCTCTGGTTGTCCCGGTGAGCTCTCCTCCCCGAGGAAAAGCTGACGAGCAGTCTTGTTTCAAGGTAAGCACCGAGGAGTATTTCTCAGTGACAGGTCGCTACACGCTGGACAACGCCATCTTGTAATTTTCCTCTTATCGCCGACCCTCGGCACGAATCAGATGGTTCTTCCGGGACAGGCGGCGCTCAGCTGCAGCCCCCCGCTGCTCATTCCCTCCTGGAGAGCGTAGTGTCGGTGGAGAGGGGCTGAGCAAATGCTCACCTCATCCCACCTCGTTTCGCATCGGCGATCACACCGCTCCCGGCCGACGGCACCCTCTGGGGTTGCCCTGCGTAACCCAGGAGGCGGCTGACATGAAGGGACCCTTTTTTACGTCCCACGCCTTTCCCGCCAGTTCGGATGATCTGGCGGGAAGGTTGTTTTTTCTAGGTTCCATTCCAGCTCACCGTCCTGATCCATCTGGCCTCGTTTTCCCAACATGACGTCCTACGGGCGAGGCCACAGCCGGTTTTCCTGGTAGATTGGGGGGCCGGTCTCCACAGTCCGCACCCATCTCCAGAGCAGGGGTTCACCGAGCGGAAATTCCCTCAGTGCCCCCTGGAGCCGAGCCTGACGGAGGCTTCATCGGATGTAGCACAGGTTGTAGTGTGCACAATTCAGGTTTCATGTGCTGCATCTACCACAGCGCTGTACACATCAAAGCGGACAGCTTTTCAGCGCTGGTGTACAGAGAAGGGTGTAGAGGCCACCTCATGTCCACTAGGTGGCATGTTGTCCTTTCTACAACAGCTGATGGACAGAAATTTGGCATCCAGCACGATTAAAACGTAGCCATCTCTTCTTGCCACGAAGGGTTCGGAGACAGAACAGTTTTTAATCATCCGCTGATGAAGCGTTTTCTAAAAGGTGTACAGAGACGCAGGCCTGTTTCACACCCACTTGTTCCACGGTGGGATTTAACGCTGGTCCTGCAGGTCCCGATCAAAGCTCCATTTGAGCCTCTGGATCAGGTTCCACTTAAATTCTTGTCTCTTTAAACAGTCCTGCTGCTGGTTTTAACATCCGCTAAGAGAGTGAGTGATTTATCTGTCCTTTCTGTCGCTCAGTCATGTCTCAGAATTCAGGCTGACGGCAGCTCAGCTGATTTAAGACCAAACCCAGCTTTTATTGTTGATGTGTTACATAGCGCGCACAGCTGCAATGCGTCAACATTTGTTTGTGCATTATAGAGATGCATCTGCAGGTCGCCTGTTATCCACCCAGCGCTTGTCACACTGGATGTGTGAGGCCATTTCTAAAGCCTACAGAGCATCAGTTCTATTTCGTATAGGCTTCGCTCTTTAAGGCTTTCGCTTAGTGGGTTTATCCCGTTATGCGAAGCATTAGCACTGAAAAATTTAGTCCACACCCACCTGCTGTGTGGGCTCCACCTGGTCCGTATAAATTACGTTAAGAGTGGGAAATTGGCTCACATTTTTTCTTCAGCGAGCTAAATAGCACTGTCAGAAGAACAAAGAAGGAAAATTATGTAGATGACCAACCTTTGTTAAGGATGCTTGGCCCGGCAGGCGACCTCTGATTAAAACTGATTAATAAGCTGTCGTTATTTTCTATTTTTGCCAATTAATGTAAATGTGTGATGTATTAAACTTGATTCTGTTAATAAATGACCCACTGTCGTTGGTGAGTCAAAGATAATTAACGTTTCCGTCCACATTTTTAATTATTCAATGCACGTATATTATACAGTCCAGAAAAATGAAAGAATCCGTTTAATTTATAAATATATCAGCATATGTTCATACTACATCTGGTGGCCTCGTACGCTTCATAAAATGGACTGTATTCGTGTGACAATTGAATTATCATGTTGGCATGAAAAAAAAGTGCAGAGAATCAGCTGCTGTGAAACGCAGCGAGTTGAGCTGCGATGCTCAGAGAAAGCTTACAGAAATGTTTGCAGCTAGTGATGTTTTGAAAGCTGAAATAGAGTCATTGAGCCTTTATGAAAGCTGAAATTGTACGTCTGTTGTGTGTAACTAAGCTGAGCTGTGGAAACGTTATTCTGTTTTAACTGTGGTCCAGACGTTACTCTGGTCCGGCTCGGTTCTGATAATTCGAACGAGTTGTTTTAAATAGATGGAGAAACGTTTTAAGGACTGGGCGAAGTCTCAGTGAAGCTTTGAGAGCTTATTCGTTACATTTCTAACAGAAAATAGTGCATTTTGACAGTTTAAAAGACGAAAAGTTGACGGACTTTTTCAGGCTAATGCTAACAAAGATAGCTGAAATGGCGATCTGTGATTGGTTGAAAACGGCCGTGTGTAACGCTTTGATTGGCTGAGAGACATGTGTGTCGTCACTAAATCTGATGTCAGCGATGTAAAGCCCACCCCCGCGCTGTTATGATTGGTAGATTCAGTCACGTGACCCGGAAATGAGCTCGGTTGCAACCGAAGCCTTCTCTGTGCTTAAAATCACTAAATAAATTTGCCACATGTCCCCAAAAACTCATGTTCATGCAAAGAAGTCGTGCTTGTTGAAACAACGCCACGTTTTAGCTTGAAATCCGTTCAGAAATGTTGATTTAACCGAGTTTAGCCGATGCTAATTTTAAGCTAAGCGGCTAACGACAGGATGTCAACAGAACGTCCACAGGAAGTCGTCATAGGCTCCTGCTGGTAGAAAGCTAACACTGCCCCCTCCTGTGGAAACTTGATATCAGTTTCACTTCGTTTTTAGGTTATTTTGAGTGAAATTAAACGTGTTTATTTTCTGTAAGACGAATTTTTGAGTTAATAAACGTTCCTCAAGCTGAATTATCACTGTTATCTTGCATTTAAAAAGTGATTAAGGTATTTATGCAGCAGGCATTTACCAAAAACTTTTTATTCACTGGTAATTCCTCATGACAGAGGTGCAAAATAAAAAATTAGAAACTTTTTAAAAGATACAGATACAGATATTCACAGAGTAGATAAAGTTTACTCATTTGCTGGAAAGATAATACACGTTTAATTGCTAGATCATTAAATAAGAGTAAATATATCAGAAAAAAGAGACTTTTCTGATTTTATTTTACCACCTAAAACAATTACATCTTCTTATTTAATTTTTAAATAGAAGATATTGGCAGGAGAAGAGGAGTATAACAGTTTTCCTGAAGAAAGACTGAAGCTCCTCATAAAATCAATTTTCTTTTCTCTTTTCACCCAACCTGGGTTGATGAGTAACTGTTAAAATAGCGAATTTCTGGAAGTGAACGGTTTAAAAAAAAGCGTTTTTAAACTGATGTTGCTGTGAGACTTTTTAGAAAAATTGCAGGTTTATAAAAATTCAGTGCTTTAGAGTAAAAACACTGAGAGGCTTAGTAATCTAGTATCTGTTAAAAAATAAGCACATAAAAAGTAACACTGCAGAGAAGCATTTACTTGAATATTCATGAATTGGGGTAAAACCTATGACAGGTGCCCACATTTGAATAAGTTGACTTATAACAGTACTTTTGTGTAAACCCAGAGCTTAAAATAGTGTGAAACTCAATGACACTTGAATACAAATATTTACCTGTAAAATAATCTGAAGCTGGCAACTGTTTTAACCAGATAAAGTGCTACACAGTGAATACCATGACAGGTGTGATAGAAAAAGATTTTGATCCTTATGAGATGAAGGACTGTTTAGAGGATGCGTTAGCACTGCTGACAGGATCCTTACATCCATATGGCAAACAGGCGGAGAGCATGAACCCAAAAGAGTTAGTGGACAATCTGATGGAGGTTGCAGAGAGTGTGACCTCTACAGAAATTACAATGTCAAGTTATGAAAAGCTGGCTAAAATGGCAATGTTGCTGAAAGAATCATACTTTGCATTAAGACGGGATCACGTTGTGACAGTGTCACAAGTTTCCCGCTGCAAAACTGAGATAGATGTGCTTAAAACACAACTTCACAAATGCAGACTGGTAAAAGAGGTATTACTGGAACAATATATGCGTTTACTAAGTGAATGTCAAACATCACAGGAACGCTTAAA